TCATCAGGAACAAGTTTCGCTCAGGTGAGGATCTCCAGAAAACTCAAACCTCCACCAGTCACCGAGGAAAAGGTAGAATGGCCGCTGTCATGGCTAACGATGGTGTCAGTGTGTCACCAGGTCAGTCACCAGGTCAGTCAGCAGGTCAGTCACCAGGTGAGTCACCAGGTGAGTCACCAGGTGAGTCACCAGGTGAGTCACCAGCACCAGGTTCAGTCACCAGGTCAGTCACCAGGTCAGTCACCAGGTCAGTCACCAGGTCAGTCACCAGGTCAGTCTCTGGTGGATTGATAATTTTTAACGTCTTTATTAGAAGACAGCAGTGGTTTCTCACAGTTCCTGTTTGACTCCCCCCCTCCTTTACCCCCCCCCAACTCTAACTGCTTTGTTGTCCCTCGTTGTAAAAACCTTTTAAAGCCACTGCAAAATAATCAAGTCAAATTACAACACAAACAGTGTGGAAACAGGCAGTGTGAATCAGTGTGAATCAGTGTGAATCAGTGTGAATCAGTGTGAATCACATGTTTCAACTGTACAGGCTGCAGATGCAGGACTGCAGACCAACATTTCCACAGGAGAAGTAAACACTGCAGCAGAGGAGACTGAAATAATAACTGAAGGTTCACTTCATCTCTGTGGTTGGTGACAGGAAGCTGCCGTCACATGGTGCACCTTCTCCTGGCTCCTGTAGGGGTCCTGTGGCAGTCGTTGTGCTCCCACACAGCTGTTGCAAATGGTTGGTCAAATAGAAAAGCCAAGAAGAGACATGGAGACGGTGGTGTAGGTGAAGACACATGGAGACGGTGGTGTAGGTGCGGTGGTGTAGGTGAAGACACATGGAGACGGTGGTGTAGGTGAAGACACATGGAGACGGTGGTGTAGGTGGAGTGACACCTGCTGGAAAACATGATTGTGTGGAGCAGCTGCTGGCTGTGGAGCACAGCTGAGGGTGAGCAGGGAGACTGATCCTCTGGACCCTGTGAACCAGCACGTGGTTTCACGCAGCTCTGACCACGGTTCCATTTTCAATAGTGCTCTTGAACATCTCTCCTCTCCTCCTGTGAACATGGGCTGACCTTCCAGCTCAGAAACTTCTGAGAAGAAACGGAGCTCCAGATATACTCAGTATAAAGGAGTTATTCTTAGCAAATCCTGAAGTCTATTCTGTTGTGGTGCTGCTGACACTTTGTTTGTGGTGAAAAGCCTGAAATCTGCTCTATGGTTCAGAGAGGCAGGAAGGCAGGAGGCAGGAGGCAGGAGGCAGGAGGCAGGGGGCAGGAAGGCTTTAGTTTGCAGCACAAACGAGGATGACGTGAGGAGTAGATGTATGAGAGGCCTGTGGAGAGAGTGGGACAGCTGGGGGGGGGGGATGGGACGAACAGAAATAGACATACTGAGAGATAAATAGTTGTTGCCCTCACCCCCCTGCACAGGCCACCCGCAGGCCCCCGCCCCCTTCATTGGGTAGCTTGGGTCTCAAATCTCAACAACGGTGTTTGGCAAAGTTACTCATTCTATTCTTTTTTATGTCACTCTACTAAATACGACACGTCAGGACTTATAGTTCAGA